TCTTTCCCCAAGTGTTAAAAATATTTTATGATGAGAGAGGTTTGTTGTCTTTGCAGTGTCTTTCCATAGTTCTGTACACAGGATGAAATAATAATCATTTAGTTTCTACCTTCTTAATAATTGAGGATGGGCTGTTTTTTCCCATTGTTTCCCGTTAAAGGTCCCATCAGTTAATATAGCACAGACTGCTGGATCCAAACACGTTTGGCCTCTACTGACAAATATTTTGTGGGTGTTGAGTGAAGCCCAGCCTCGTGCAATTACTACCAGTCACTAAGAATCTCTCGAAACCCACAATGTCTGCCCCATTATCTTACTACAACCGCCTACAGTAACACAAAAACAAGCTATAATTTGAGATGGCACATATTGAGAGGCAGGCAGGCAGGCAGGCAGGGTGTGTGTGAATAGGCACAAACATGCATTGCTGTCCTCCCACATAATCAACGCAACCACAGTGGCATGAGGCCATGTTCTTGCTTGTTTATCAGATAGCTTTGTAATTTGAAGCGTGCAGGCTCCTATTGGGGTATTCCAATGCCCATCATCTTCAAACGCCATCAATCTTTTTCCTACTTTTCAATCCCAGTTTGGAAGAGGCTTTGATTAAAGGTTTAACCACGCACCTCAATCTCCTGCTGGCTGCATCAGGGTGCCTGATGCCAGCTAGTCAAAGTTATGGTCCAGGGCAGCATTTCTCAACCTTGACAACCTGAAGATGTGTGGATCAACTTCCGGAATTCCCTAGCATTCTGGGAATTGAAGTCCGCCCATCTTAAAGTTGGCTGGGGAATTCTGGGAGTTTTAAGTCTACCCATCTTCAAATGGGCTGGGGAACCGTGAGAGTTTATTTATTTATTTATTTATTTATTATTTGAATTTATATCCCGCCCTTCTCCTTGCGGACTCAGGGCGGCTGACAATCAATTAAAAACACCACTAACAATCACAAGTTAAAATTAATTAAAATGAAATATTTAAATTGTCTAATTAAAATGTAATTAAAAACCCCTCTAAAAACCCCTCTTAAAAATTATCCTAGGCCAGTCCCGCTTGTTGGAACAGCCATGTCTTGAGGGCGCGGCGGAAGGAAGGGAGATCAGGGATCACCCTGATCTCTGGGGGCAGTTCGTTCCAGAGGGTGGGGGCTCCCACAGAGAAGGCCCTCCCCCTTGGGGTCGCCAGCCGGCACTGTCTGGCCGACGGCACCCTGAGGAGACCCACCCTGTGGGAGCGTACTGGCCGATGGGAGGTAATCTGTGGCAGAAGGCGGTCTCGAAGGTATCCGGGTCCGCTGCCATGGAGCGCCTTAAAGATGAAAGTCAGTACCTTGAAGCGCACCCGGAAGGCCACCGGCAGCCAATGCAGCTCGCGCAGCAGCGGTGTTACGTGGGAGCGACGAGTCCCTCCCAACACCGCCCGCGCGGCCGCATTTTGGACTAGCTGGAGCCTCCGGGTGCTCCTCAAGGGAAGCCCCATGTAGAGAGCGTTACAGTAGTCCAGGCGGGCTGAAGGCCCACCCATCTTAGAGTTAGCTGGAGAATTCCGGGCGATGTCTTAAAGTTGCTAACGTTACCAGGGTTTTCTGCAAACGGATGAATTAAGCAGGTGAGTGCAGTAGTATTGAAAACAGTGGCGTTGGCCCTGGATTCTTGGGAAGTGGAGCCATTTATATATTTTCCCCATCCCCTTTTGGGAAGAAGACATGTGTGTCGGAACCATCTGTTGCCGTTTAACTATGAGTAACCCATCCGTTTAGCCAGCTTTGGAAATTTAGGAGTGACAAGAAAAACAAACAGGCAGATGGTGTGCAAAATATTTAATCGTACGTACATCTTTCTCTCCACCCCCAGTCACATTTTTTTTTAATCTGGATTAGTGCATTGCTTTAACAACTTCTCCCTTTCCCCCCAGGCCCTTCCCTTCCCCTCCATTTCTTCCACCCACCGTTCACCCTGGTCTGCTTCTCCACCAGCTCACCAATACAGACAAGGTTTGCAAAAGCCAGCTATGGAAGAAAGAGCCAAGAGGGTGGACAACGTAGAGTAGGGGTCCCCAACCCCCTGGGCTGTGGACGAGACTGGCCCATGGACTGGTAGGAACCGCGTCACAAACCCTACTGTAAACTGTGCATGCAAGGGATCTAGATTGTGCATGCCTCCCCGCCCGCCCCCATCCATGGAAAGATTGTCTTCCACAAAACCGGTCCCTGGTGCCAAAAAAGTTGGGGACTGCTGACGTAGGACACGTTTGCTAAAATAAGTGCCAGCCTTGTCCCAGGCTTCACACGGCCCCAATGACTCCAGGGCAGAAGGGCCCAAATGGGGTTTGAAGCCAGCCTGTGACTTAAAAAAGCCCACAAATCATTCCATCATCTTAGCAGGGCCACGGAGTTTAACTTGCTGGCTTGGAGATGTTATTAGCAGTGGCCCAGCACGGACGAACCCTGCATATCACGGCCGGAGTTGCGTTTCCATCCAGGGAGAAAGTCAGAAGTGCTGCCGATCTCTCTGCAGGACGGACCCTGCCCGCAGCATTGCTACAAGCCTCCCCTACAGATCTGAAGGCCATTTAGGTCAAGGAGAAGGTGTGGCCACGGGGGGAGAGAGAGTGGCCCTAACCCTGTTATGCGCCAAAGATCAGGAGGAGATTGACATGATCGGGAGGGCTTGAAGGAGGCCGGGGCCCTTAGGTTCAAGCCAAACTCCTCACCTCTGGTGTCTTCTCCTTCCAGCAAAGTGCTTGTGCTCTTTTAAAGCCAGATTGTCAATAAGGGGAGAATTCATACGGAAATAAATACATAAATAAATAACACTTTAGACTAGCTCCTTTCCAACACCTTGGAGAACATCGCCCACCTATCTATACAGCTCTCTCCCCCCCCCTCCACCCAGGAAAAAAAATCTAGAAATTGGCTATCCCTGATGAGACTAAACCCTGATTGTGAAAGCACTCGAGGCAAGCTAAATTCTTAGCCTGCCCAGGAACAATTGCTCGGACGTCATTATTCCAGTCGGGATCGAACCCGTGGTGAGGGCTCAGTGGTTTGATCTGCAGGAGGGGGCAAGGGCACTGTGAGGTTGGGGCAAATACCAGAGCCAGAGGCCTTTTGATTGATGAGACTTTCATTGGAGAACTGAGTTCAGAGTTAGGACTGTGGAGAGCATGAGCTAATACGGGGAGTATCCTTGTGGTAAATCAGGCTATGGAGCATACTTGGAAGTATTGGATGCCTTATGTTGAGCCATGATTTCTGGGTTAGGGTTGCAGACAGGGGTCCCCTAGAGATCTGAAGAGCCCAAGCTGAGAGTTTTATCAGAAAGGGAAGAGAAGGAAGATAGGAAAGGAAAGAAGAAGGGAGACAAGAAGGACTGTAGAAGCAAAAGGGGAAGAAGGAGAGAGACAGGAGAAGGAGAAGGGAGACAAGGAGAAGAAGGAGGAGAAGAGACAAGGAGAATGGGAAGTAGAAG